TTTACTTTCGAGCACAAGTCATCAATTCCATTCCCAGACGCCATGATCGAACAATCGTCAGCATAGGAGACTTTATTAACACCCTCTGGTGGCTGAGGAAGCTTTGAGATGTAATAATTAAACAGTAGCGGGGACAGGACACCACCCTGTGGTACCCCCTGCTTAATTTTACGTGGTTTGCTAGTTTTGTCTCTGAAAATTACTGACGAGTGTCGACCACTCAGGTAATTCGCCGACCACCGTTTGAGTCCCTGTGGGAGTGAGGAGGCCTCTATATCTTCTAGTAGCGTTGAATGACTGACAGTGTCGAACGCCTTGGATAGGTCCAACGCTACTAGAATAGTTCTCTCACAGGGGCGGTTTCGTTTTAGGCCACGAGTTATCTGAGTGTTTATGGCGTTAAGTGCTGTTGTTGTGCTATGCACTTTACGGAACCTATGCTGATGCTTCGCTGGGGTCAGGTGGTTTGTGAAATACGGGAGTAGCAAGGCCACAAGTGTCTTCGCTACCGGGGAAAGGAGAGTTATCGGGCGATAAGACTCTCCTTTGTTGGCTGGTTTCCCCGGTTTGAGCAGTGGGACCACTCTCCCCATCATCCATATGTCTGGAATGACGAGAGTGGCCATAGAAAAGTTGAGGACCTCCGTTAGGTACGCTACTCCCGCAAGACTCAAATTTTTCAGCATCAACATGCATATTCCGTCGGGTCCATGGGCTTTGGAGGCTTTCGCCTTCCCGATGGCTACCCTTACCTCACCGCTGGTGAAAACAAGAGGCGCACTAGGTTTTGGTATTTTGTGCAGCCTTCTGGTCACTCGACGTTTGGCTTTATCCACCGGAGGATGGAGAATGAACTGCCGGCTAAAATAGCTCGCAAATCTCTCTGGGTCCGACGAAGCGTGGTCACCAAAGTCTATCTCGACTCTGTCGTCGCGCTTCGTCGGGTTGGACAACGACCTCACGGTTGACCAAAGCTTGCTCACCCAGAGGCGAAGTTGCAGGTCTTCCAATGCTCTTCCTATTTCTTCCGCTTATGTACGTTCACAAGTTGCCGAATTGAGATCCCTAATACGGGGATTTTCGGGATCGGTCTGACGAAGGTTGTCGCGCTCATCAGGTAGAACAGCAGCTTCGGCAGGAAAATTCGGACGTGGATCCTTAATACATCCTGCTGGGATGAAGCGAGCTGCAGCAGCGGAGACAACCCTGCGAAACTTACGTTCACCTACATGGACGTCGGTTGGTATGGGAAGTGCAGTGAAGACGCCCTCAGTAACATCCGTGAAGCCTTTCCAGTCAGCTTTGGAAAAGTTGACATAAGTCCGGTGATCCACGGAAGCAAAGTCGGCAGGTTTATTAATCGAGATGACTATGGGCAGATGGTCTGATGCTAGGGTCAGCATAGGTCGCCATCATACGCTGTTTATCAGACCAGCGCTGACAATTGTTAAATCTGGCGAGCTACAGCAGCTGCCCATAATCCTGGTGGGTGCGTCGTCATAAATTAAGCAGAATGTCGAATCGTCTATCTGCTCAGCCAGATGTAGTCCTGAGCACGCCCTAAAGTGGCACCAGCCGAGGCAAGAGTTGCACTTGACTGATGTCACGTTACGGTATATTCTGCTCTGACAAACAGAGCAGATTGTCGGAGGGACTAGGAGTTGCCGGCGGTGGTGTGTGGGTGCAATTGTGTTTGTTTGTGTATCTATTGTTGTGTTGTGTTGGGGTGTGGGTGTGTTGATTGTGTGCTGCCCAGGCGGGTGGTGGTTTGCCGTGGAGGCGGTCCGGTTCGCACAGCATGGGGCCACGAACGACGTGGTCCATTGCCACCCGTCACAGGCATTGCACCTGACCGAGGTGGAGTTTGTATGCAGTCGTCTCTGGCATACGCAGCAGGTGTAGATTTCTGGCCCTGGGTTTGACTCTATGCCAGCCCTGAGCAGAAGGGTGCGGAGAAGATGTAGCCCTAGAATCGAGCAACGTTTGATGGATTTCGCCGACCTAAACGGGGTTAGATCGCCGAAAAAACAGCCCTTGGTCGGGTAAAACCCGAGTCATTCCGGTACGTAGAACCGGCTGTCGTGGGAATGTCGCATGTGTTGCTTGTGTTGACATGCATAGATTTGATGCATGATTTGATTTCAATTATTCGACAATGTCTTCATATGTTATTGTGAAACATGTATGAGCGACATAATATGAACTAGCACTTGCATGATGTTTCACATGTCGCTATGTCTTATAGTTCAACATTTGCAGGACTTTAATTCATATGGCTAGCTTAGAGTGAAATGTTGCTAAGTCAGTTTATAGAAATTTTACTGGAGAGAAAAACAACCTTTCTAAACATTTCCTTCAAGAATTTTGCAAAAGATTTCGTTGCAAATTAAAAGATTTAGAATTCTTTGTGAGCTTATCAAATTTTCACGCGTCTTTTTGACTTAATAAATTCGCCTTAAATTGAATATAAATGGGAAGAAATAAAACAAGCACGTTAGTTAATCCTTTTGGAGACATTGCGTTTTTTAATTTATTTTGCTTCCTATAGCCAAATATGAGTTTTCACAAAAAGTGGACGTAGATTAGATGATAATGGGTCTTTCTTTGTAGGACTTTCTTTTCGTTGGCAACTAAACTGCCGACAATTTTTAACTATTCACAATAATAATGGGATTAAAAAATAAAAGTCCGGGAATAAAATTGTCACTGAATCGTTTCGTTACAAGTTCTTTTTTCCGATACCTACTCAGTACTCGGTTAACAAGTATCGATACCAAAATTGCTTGCTATCGGACGAAAAGTATCGAGTGTGTACTTGTATTTACTAGGATCGTTTTGTGGAGTTGTAAAACTATCGATAGTGCCACCATCGATAGTTTCCATGTTTCAGAAAAAAACTATCATTACTCGTTGATAGTTTCCAGCAATACTATCGATAGTGTCAAACGCTACCATCGACAGTCAATGTAATGTTAAAAACTCTTCCAAATTAACAGGGACGGCTTCGAAAAACAAAAAAACAAAATATTGAAAATATAAACACACGTAGGACAGTTTTCTTAAGTAACTTTTAACTTCAAAATTCACTTTATGTTTAAATATTGCTTTAACATGTATAGTTCTGTCTAAGTAAAGCATTTTATTATCGAATTTTATTTATTTATTTACATATCTATTACTGAAGCTTACAATTAAAAATAAAATTATGAGCCTAATAAAGAAAGATTCTTCTTATGATCCATAACACATGGCAACGAAAATGGGAAAAAATTTGTTGCGGCAAATGTTACAGCTGTTTTTGATTGACTTGTGAGTGCTGATTACGAATTCATGAGCATAACATTTCCATCAGCTCCAGATTTTGTGAAAAACGAGGTCAAAATGTCAAAAAATCGGGTTTTTTTGGCAATATTTTAGAAGCTCTAGCAAAGAATCAAAAGGCGGGACTACTATCCCTGAAAATACCATCCCTACACCTTGACCTGATGGTCACTTATAGTCATTTATTGAACAGGAAAACCTGATTTTGTGCGAAGTTTGAGTACCCACCGCAATTAAACAAGTAGATATAGGATAGAGCCTTCCACTTGGGCTGAAACTAAGGTTTGAACTTTCGACTACAATTGCTTAAAATACCATCCCTGAACCTTAACCCTAAGGTCACTTATAGTTATTTATTTAACAGCAAAAACTGATTTTGGCAAAACTTATTTATTTTTTTCAATAGCACAGTATTTATTCCAGTATTTTTATATTGCTCAATAAATGACTTTTAGTGACCATCAGGTCAAGGTGCAGGGGTAGTAGCCGAGAGTTATAGCTTTAATTTAAGCCACAGTTAAAGGTTCTAAAGGTTGTTTTTTGTGCTAGACCTTCTAAAATATTGCAAAAAACGCGATTTTTTGACACTTTGACCTCGTTTTTCTTAAAATCTGGAGCTGGTGGAAGCTTTATGCTTACGGACTCGTAATCAGCATAAAAAAGTCTATGAAAAACAGCTTTATCATTTGCCGCAACAAAATCACTGTTGCCTTGTTTAATTGTTGCTTATTATAAATTTTCAAATATGCTATATTTTGTTTAAATTTCGTAATATAATTTTTTGATTTGTTTACAGCCAAGAAACATACAAACGTCAAACACCGATTATAGAAATGCTTTACTTCAGACATAGCCTTATGGTTTGAAGCAACGTTTAAATTTAAAGGGAGCTTTTCAATTAAAGTTTGCTTGAGAAAATGGCCATTAAAGGAGGAATCACAATGAAAGTATCACTTATAATAAAAAATTGACAAACTTAAAAAACTGACGCGCAGCTACATGGAGACATTACCCTGCAAAAATCGCGACTACTCCATGCATGCATGTAAAGAGTACTCCCGAACGATCAAGGAGTACTCCAAAATTAACCACAATTCATATAAAAAATATGGTCCAATTAACATTACGATGGACCATATACTCCATCTCTGCATTACATCAGAGTAGTGCAAAACTACTCCTAATATACTCCAATGACATTGTCGTTATATTTTTTCGTTTGTACACGCTTTTGTTCTTCACTTCGCAGATGCTTTTTTGAAATGAATAAAAACCAAAAACAAAAATTAAAAATTACATGTTGCTTCTGACGACATTCGAACCCGAACATGCTGAAAGCTAAGAACTAACAGCTAGCATCTCTACACGTTTAGCTACAGCCAGACATGCAAATGTACTTTCAAATGCTTAACTTCAATCACATTTCGTTAAACCACGAGCAGTGATCGGGTAACAATAAGCTGGTGCAGAGACACGAGTTGGTCCGCTACAGCATGACAGAGGAGCACTTTTGTAAGTACTCCAATATACCACAAATAGAGTACATGGTCCAACGATTTTCGCAGGGTATAAGTAAAATCGGCTGTGCTAGAGATTTAAACTATCGATAGTCAACTAGTACTATCGATAGTTTAACCTTTTTTGAGAAAAACTATCACTACTCATCGATAGGGAAAAAAAACAAAACTATCGATAGTACCATCCATAGTTTGACTCTTCTATCGTTTTGTCCCTATTTGTAACTGGTAGAATTAATTTGCTATGCTCTCCGCTCTTAAAATGCTGGCTGTGGGCTCAAAGCATTTCAGTGGTACGACATGATATTATTAAGTATTTTTAATGTCTTTTTGATTTATTTAGGGTTTGTGTTTAGGACCGCCGGGCTCAAAAACTTTGCTCCACAGAAGAAATATGACTGTAAGTAAACATTTCTTGAATATTCCTTTAATTAGGGTTCCCGTTTTTACAGATGTTGAAAAAATAGAACGGCCAAAACTACGTGTTATGGAGAGAGCACCACAGTATCCCCCAAATCTCCGACCGCCGAAGATGCAGAAGAAGTTGAAGAATATGAGGGGCCCTGAGATGGTTCATAATGAGTTTGTTCACAAGCAATATGGCATAATTGCTGAAAGTGGAGGACGTTTGAGATGGGGGCATTTCGAAATGTTACGTTTAACAATCGGTCGCAAAATGGATGTCAACAGAATGTTTGCTAGTTGGAGGGTGCCACCGCCTTGGCAGCCAATAACCAAAAAAGGGCAAGGTCAACGTATGGGTGGGGGAAAAGGAGCCATAGATCATTACGTAACACCTGTCAAAAAGGGCCGTGTAATTCTTGAAATCGCTGGAAAATGCGAATTTGCGGAAGTACAACCATTTTTAGAATTAGTAGCTCAGCAATTACCTTTCAAAGCTCGTGTAGCGTCACAAGAAATGTTAAATTCCTCGAAAATAGACAACCATGAAACACTTCAAGGTAGATACTTGAAGCACATAATACAAAATAATTTAAGTGGTTGTCATAAATGGCTTTCCCCAGTTGATCACAAATGGTTTGGTAAATATATTTAATTGTGATAGTTAAAAATAAATAATATTGCTATTTATCCTAGTTTAAGGCTTGTATACAGCTCTCAAGAAAAGGAAAAACTGCATATAAAATGACGTACAAGAAATAGCTAAGAAATTTTCTTGAGTCAAATTTCCTTAAGGCAGTACGCAGTTCTTAAGAAATTTACTATGCTTTCTACTACGGTTTTCTAAAGTTTTTTGTGAAAAAAGAGCACAAGGCAACCCAGGTTTGCAACAGAAATATATGCCCGTTCCATTATTTCTTGAGGACAGAGTGAGGCAACAGGCTGTGAAGTATCAAATATGTAAAAATTCCTTGGACAAACACGAAATAATGGCAAATTTTTCTTGACCGTTATCTTGAGAGCTGCATACAGGCCTTTAGCCAGGTCGGTTAAAATATACGTGACCTGAAAGGCCAGTATGCAGCCCTCAACAAAAGTAAAAACTCCATATAAAATGACGTACAAGAAATGGCTAAGAAAATTTCTTGTGTAAAATTTTCTTGAGGCAGTACGCAGTTCTTAAGAAATTTGCTACGCTTTCTACTACGCTTTTCTAAAGTTTTTTGTGAAAATAGAGTACAAGACAACTCATGCTTGCAACAGAAATATATGCCCGTTCCATTATTTCTTGAGGAAAGAGCGAGGCAACAGGCTGGTGAAGTATCAGTTGTCAAAATTCCTTGGACACACACACACGAAATAATGGCAATTTTTTCTTGACCGCTTGAGAGCTGCATACTGGGCTGAAAGGTAGTGTTGTTAAGTGAAAAAAACTGCTCTATTGTGAATTGTTAATGGGAAAGCGGAGAGGGAAATTTTTGTTTCCTTTTATACGCATAAAAAAGTATATATATTACGCAAATACCTCGCATAATTAATCATTTAAATTGGTTTTTGTATCCCGTTAAACTAATCACATGTTTCTTTCCAGCTACCAACTGGGTTGCTTAAAGGCCAGTATGCAGCTGTCTAGAAAAGCAAAAAAATCCATATAAAATGACGTACAAGAAATGGATAAGAAATTTTCTTGTCTAAAATTTTCTTGAGTCAGTACGCAGTTCTTGAGAAATTGGCTACGCTTTCTATTACGGTTTTCTAAAGTTTTTTGTGAAAAAAGAGCACAAGGCAACCCAAGAATGATAGAATAAAAGATTGCGCCGTCCTTTGCGTTGACATTTGTGTACCACAAGTAAACAAAGAATAGAGCGAAAAGAAGACCGAGTTGAAACTGCCAAAGCGGTTCACTTTACTGCGAAAAACGTGTTTTAATTTTGCTAAAAGCGAAAATATTGAATTTTTCACCTAATCTATTAGAGAACAGTGAACATTTTAGTGCACTCCATTGCTTTGCAAAGGAGCCTGCTTCAGCAAATGTTTAAGTGCACTTTATTGCTTTGCAATTAAGGTTTCTGCAGAAAACTGCAGCAGCATCTCTGCGGGATTGATTAGTTAACTTGCTAATGGAGGCTGCGTGGAGCAGAAACAAAATCATTGTGAGGAAATGCTGTTAATATAATAATAGAGAAACATTTCGGGAGCACACAAAATGCAGCGATTCGTCCCAGCGCTGCACTTGCATCTTGGCGGCTGTCGCACTTTAACACACAGCACATCGTTGTATTAGTTTTTACGCAGTCTTCAACTCAAAAATCGCTCACAAATTGCAAATTAACATGATTTAAACTGATTTTTACTTATAATTCAAACTTCTCTTTTGCTGATTTGTAAACAAAGGTTTATTTACAAGTTACCAGAACTGTCAAAATCGGCAAAACCAAAGTAGAGGTACCACTGACGGCGCCACCTTTGTTCGCTGCACCGTGAAGGCAACCCATGCTTGAAACAGAAATAGTTTCGTTCCTTATCTCCCAGAAAAAGTTCGAAGTAGTCAGATTTTGTCCAAAAAGCGATCCTTAACTCGAAATTTACAGCAAAAATGAAAGAGCAACCTTCAGTGAGAGTGACTTTCTTCAGTCCGAAGTAGTCAGAAGAATTTTTTCTGGCAAAATCTTGAAAAGTGTCAAACTCAACTGAATTTAAATTAACAAAAAAAGTGAGAATAATCTAAAAAGTGAATTGAAAGTGGAAGGAGGCAAAAAATAATTGATATAGTGTTTATTGTGCTTGTGCTTGTGTGGATGTGTTTTGTACATACATTTCTATTCTTATTTGACGTTAGTTTTGTTGTTGCCATTCTTTGGACTAAAAATTTGGTTTTTTGCGTTCCTTTACTTTTTCCTGTAACAGTAGCTACACACGACGAGCATATCCGCGCACATGTGCGCCAAATGCTGGCTGTCGTTTGCTACAGACGGCGAGCGGCTCATAAGTGATTTTGTACTCAAAGCGTAAACATGGAAAGGAAAGACGCGGATGATGCAATTGAAATACTTATGACTTAGGGTTTTTTATACCCGAGCGCACTTGTGCACAAGGGTATATTAATTTTGTTCACATAACGGTTGTTTGTAACAGCCAAAACGAATCGAG